CATAATTAGCATTGCATGGAAAGTAGACCGTTTTAAAGTTGCTATCTATTTTGTAAATCCTTGTGAATGATTTATCCATGCATTTTTTTTAAACTTTAAACATTTATTATCCAGTCCACTTAAACTCTGCTCCCAGACAAGCTCACATTCAGATCTGCCTCCATTTTTGAATGCATAGCTCATAACATAAAATTAAAACATTAAGCGATGGATAGAACCGAGTCCCTGCACTACTTTTTTTTATCCCGATAATGTGTTATACTTGACAGTAGATCACAATATGCAAGGGAAAGTCTGTCGCTACTTCAGTTTCATCTCTCTCAACTTTGAACACCTTAGATGTCTGTTAAAGTCATTTTAATGTTGTGATATCACAAATACCAACGAATGGGACGAGACCTGGTTGAGCTGCACTAGAGAAAGCAACGAGTGTTATCACGATGTCGGAGACACGCTAGTTTCCCAAGGCAGATGAACTTAGAGGGGTTACAATCATCCGGGTTTAAATCGCGCTCAAATTGATTTGATTTTGACGCAATATTTACACTGAAGCTCGCAGGCGGCTATGGTAAGGGGCGTGACATTTCCCGACCAGGTGCCGAGTGCTGCCAATCACAACACGCACTGGCCCAGCTAACCAATCACAGCACATTTTGTATTTCAGAAGGTGGGCCTTCATTTGATACAGGAACTATTCGAGCCGTTCATGTCAGACTGGGGAGAGAGGTGTTGTAATAATGCAAAATATGTGAAAAATAATGTGTTTTTCGAACAACCTAGTATGAGAGCCTGTTCTAGTACACCCCCAAAACAAAATCAAGACTTTGTAAAAGAGCATAATAGGACCCCTTTAACTAATTTTAATTGACAAAATTAATATTTACTTGTCCGTTACTCCATACAAAATTCATTGCTAGAAAATTAATTAAAAAAATGTCAGATTTGTTTTTATACAATTCCTGTGTAATTAAATAAATAAATAAATAAAATAACACGCACACAAAAAAAACATGATTTTTTTTTTACTTTAGACATGTCCCAAATTTAGGAAATAGGGTTGTTAGAATTGCAAACCTTATATATAATAATTGTATTATAATAATTGTAAATTATAAATGGCTCATTGTAGGGCTGCACGATATTGGAAAAAACTCACAATGCGAGGTTTTTTTTTTGTTTTTTTTTAATTGCGATATAAAAAAAAAGAATCACTAGATGACTTGAATAGCTCTATTTGGAAAAAAAATAATCAATGATTGGGGTGATTTTGTAGGCGAGTAAATCACCATAGAAAATAAACAAATTACAAGCATAGATAAAAATAATAGAACAAAGATAGAAGTGAAATAAACAGTGGTTTATATTTTTAAGGTAAGTCTAACAGTATTCAGGTACAGAAATTTAATAATCAAATGTAAAATAACAATGCATAGTCTTCACTGTATAAAAAAATTTAATCTAATCTGTGTTAAAGCTTAAAGTGTTTTTCTCTGTGTTTTGTTGTTTGATTTACATTCATGACAGACAGCAGGAATATTAAACTGCTGTGAACCAATATACTGTTACACATCCATTTTCTTTCTCAATTGTTTACTTTCAACTAAACCATAAGCAACTGTGTTTACAAGAATACTTGCAGAGACATGCATTTTGACATAATTTCGCGTGTATGTGTCATTTGAGGCACAAATAGACGCGGACGTGAGCGGACTTCGGTGTTCACGTGCATCTGCGTGGCTCTCACCGTGTCTACACCGGACGCGAGCGGCACAGCGCGACGCGACAAAATATTATCGAGCCAATTATAATCAGTGATGCTGTTTACACTGGATGCGGCGCGACACGACAAATCCCGACAGTAAACTGATGCCTCGTTCTATTTATGACGTACTGACACAAAGTTCAAGTGATTTGCAAAAGTCGCTTTGTTGCGTCCAGTGTAGAAAGACTTTGGGGCCGTTCATATGTCGCACCTAAAAACGCGTGGAAAAGCCAGCCGCGCTGCTTTCTCCTTCTTTCCAAAGCGTTCGGGAGCTTGCAATTTCGTGGCATCTGCCGTTGCTAAGCAACCGTGACCTACGCTCTCCGCGACGACCCAGAAGTTTCAACAAAGGATAAATGGATTTCCAGCACTGAAAATCGCTTGCAGTAGCTCTGCTACTAAATTCATTTAAAAATGGGTATCTCTGTACAGCTGTTCCTGTACCGGTGTCTGTGTGAGCAAAGAAAACGATCAGTGTAAATATAACGATCAGTATACTAAACATTGCACATCCTGCGATGTGACTATCGCAGATGCGCACATTGCGATATCGATGCTGAAACGATATATCGTGCAGCCCTAGCTCATTGCGATATATTTTGACCCCTTGAGGTGGGTTAGCAGCATTTTCTGAAGGTTAAGTGTCCATTTGCTGAAAATGAAAAATAGGCTTTTATTGGACATTTCCGGCCCTTTTTTGTGCCCTATTCATCTGGTGCTAGTAGATTTTTTTTTTTTATAAAATACCTGTCGCTCTCTTCTTACTTTCAAATGATTTTGTTGTAGGAAACCTGAGGATTTGTCCAGGGAGGTCATACAGATTCAACAGCGAGAACTGAACCTGAAACAGCAGAACTACACACTCAATAGCAGGTAAATACACACATTCACATGCATTAAGATATAGATCACTGACTTTGGGTCATACATTTTGACTCATCACTTGTTGATTTAAGAAAGTTGTGTGGAGGTAAATTTGAGGTAACACTTTAGACATTCTACTAACGGTAAGTAACTTTGCAACTACATGTCAGCTAGCAGTCAGACACTCATCAATGCTGTCTCAGGGAAGTAGAAGTCAAATACTAATAAATGAACATAAAAAAAAGTGGTAAAAGTGGTCACCAGGGGTCCATTTTGTTTCCACTTTCAGGACGTGCACGTCACTCTATATTTTGTCCAATGAAAAGTGCATTTTTCATCAATTTCCGTGCATATAATTGCCTACAAAAAAATCTTAGTCACCTTCATTGGAAAGTAAAGAAGTATTTTCAAAAACGTTGCATAATATTTCATCAAATGTATCATAGGAAATTACAAAAAACTGCATGTTGCCTCAAGGCAACATTGTACCGTAATGGAATCGCATAAGGCCATGCAGGCATACTAGGTTAGGATACAAGTATATGATATTTGTAAGGAAAAGAGTTAGAATTATCTAAATGTATTAGAATTTTTACATGATTTTGTAATGCATTTGCAAGAATATTAATTCTCATACTATTTCTACACATATTATGAATTTTTCTGTTGAGAGGAATTGCTTCCTCAGCTTTCACAAGCAATGAGGTGTCATTAGTGAAGTAGGAGATTTTGCATGCATGTGCTTGTGTGTGCATGCTTGTAAGGATAA